CAGTAATAAAGGACTGAATAGTTGTCAATAATCCTTCAGCTGACTCATTGTTTCAGCTCTATTTTTATTCGTTGCTAAATAGGCAGACAGTTGGAGAGTGAATCCCTCTCAGAGGAAAACGCTTTATCTCCTCCACTGTAAAAAAAAAAGTCTTTTAAAACTGTTTTTAGCTGTAATCTTTGAACAATTTACTGTTATGTTATAGATTATCCTGGTTTTGTTGAGTTAATATCTAGTAAAATCATTAAAAGAACGATTAAATTACATATTAATCCTAAAAAATGTCCACTTTTGGTTGTTAAGGGGACACAATATGTAATCTATAAAACGTTCGCACAATGTTCCACTGTGTTGCATGATAACAACAAAGAACATTCTCAGGAAATGTTCCCATAACATTGGCTACACTTAAAATTTAAATACGTTCTTCTTTGAAGAAATCATTTTAATCTAATGTTCAAAGAACATCATAAGGATATTTATAATTTCAATTAATGTTTCCGTGAGGTTAAAGGTGACAAAGGACAGAATGTTTTAACGTTCAGAAGATGTTTGGAGGATGTTGTCAGATTATGTTACATGACAACAAAACATTTTTAAAAAATGGGGGGAAAAAAGGAAGAACATTCTAAATGCAACATTTAAGAAAACATTTTAAGATCACTGCCTTTAAAAACAACATTCAAAAAAGACATCCCACTGAAAACATTACTACAACTTTTTTAGAAAGTTTGTAGAACAAAATATATATATATTTTGGGGAAACATTCAATTTTGAGCAGGTTAGGACACAACGGTCTAAAAAATGTTATGTCCAAACACTATTGGAACATCTTTAGTTATCCTAACTTTAAAAGAACGTTCTGGGAACTAAAAGGAAACTTGTTGCTGAAAACATTACTAGGACTTAATAAATTCTAGCTGGATTGACATTTCATTTTGGGCATGTTAGGACACAACGGTCTGATGATGTTATCACCAAACACGACTGGAACAGGGCTGCAAGGTGGTTCAGTGGTTCGCACTGTTGCCTCACAGCAAGAAGGTCGCCGGTTCGCATCCTGGTGGAGACACCGGGATCTTTCTGGGTGGAGTTTGCATGTTCTCCCCGTGCAGCGTGGGTTCTCTCTGGGTTTTCCAGCTTCCTCCCACACAGTCCAGAAACATGTTGAGGTTAATTGGTGATTGTAAATTGTCCGTAGGTGTGAATGTGAGTGTGCTTGGTTGTCTGTCTCTAAGTGTAGCCCTGTGATAGACTGGTGACCTGTCCAGGGTGTCCCCTGCCTTCACCCTGAGTCAACTGGGATAGACTCCAGTCCCCCATGACCCTAGTGAGGATTAAGTGGTGTATAAATGATGGATGGACTATTGGAACATCTTTAGTTATCCTAACTTTATCAAGAACATTCTGGGAACTAAAAGGAAACTTCTTGCTAAAAACATTAGCAGACTGCTGCAGAACTTTCTAATAATTTTAGTTAAAAAAAAAAAAAAAGACAACAACTTTTCTATCCATAATTTTATGAGAACCGGTGCAATACTTTTATGTTACACCTGAAAAGTGTCCCGGGTGTCTCAGTTCCTTAAACCTGTGTGGAGACAAACATGCTCCAAAACCTGTGTTTTCTGGCCCGCTGAACTGCCTCTGGCTCCTGGCTGAGATCACATGTGACTGGTGGCAGGTAGCCCGGAGGTGGGCTGCTTCTCCGCTCAGCATCCTCCACATTTGAGCCCCTGCATCAGTCACCGCAGCAGGCAGCAGTGGGCTGCAGTGCCAGGGCTATTCCTGGCTCTCCCTGTCACACACACTAACAGTATGCATGCTCACACACACACACACCTGTCTCCGGCTGTTTCTTCCAGTGTCTCCGTGAGGTGGGAATATTAACAGTGGCAGGCGGTAGCTGCAGCACGCTCCACCTGTCCTGAGGAGACGACTGCTGGGGAATCGGAGATGAAATCGGCTACCTGACTCATGTTGCGCCGCAGTCCTCATTTAAAGCTACACCGGGAGGATTTTTATGAAGGAATGCACAAGTCAGCAGCCTTAAATTAATGTGACAGACTCCAGAATGGTGGATCATATAGCCAACAGGATGGGTTGAAGTAAACTAACTGGAAAAATCCAAACAGTAAATATCTCCAATAAGTGTTTGCATTTAGCTTTTGCTGTCATTTAGAGCCATTAACTAAAGACACATTAGCTCATACAGGAGTCTAGATTAGATTTTTTTTCGACCCAAAGAGCTGGTTTGATCTGTGAACAGTTCAAAAACGTTAAAAAGCGTCGCACCAACACACAGTAAACATATCCTGCACTTTGTTTATGCTCTTGTTCTGCTGAAGAGGGTTCTTTTAAGGCTTTCATAATTATGTTTTATCTATTTTTTCCTCATTGTTCTCCAGAGTATCTGTGTTTGCTTGGATATGCTTTTACAAGTTTACTGTAAGCTCCCAGTGGTTGCCATGGTGGTTTGCTGTTTTCCCTTTTAATCCACAGAGAACTAGGAATAACAATGATCGGCTGATGAACGTGTCGGAGCCCATTTTTTTTACTTTTAGCAGCATCAGAGTTCATTTGGAGTCGTGTTTCTGGAGATGCGATGGATTTAAGTCAGTCATCTTTTAGCTCTGGTTTGGTCTCCACCAACTCCTGAGGGGAACACATGGCTCTTTAAATGAAGCAGCTGCCTGCACGTTTAAAAATGAAAGCAACCTACTGGCAAGGCATGAGCATAACCTGGGCATCTCGTGCTTTAGAAATCTCCCCATGTCTGTGTTTCGTGTGGCACATTTGCAGAAGAGAAGCAAAGTTACCAGGAAATACTTTAACAGGCCGTCACATGATGCCTGTTGAGCCAATTGAAAGCCAGCAAAAATGTTCCTCACTGCATGTCATCCATCTAATCATCCTTTAAGATTCTGCTGTTCTGATGGATTTGAGCTTTCCTGCTGTGTAGTAACATGGACCTCCTGAATTTGCGTCCAAAGTTCTCCAAACTTTCATTTATAATCATAAATGCAGCTTCCATTGTTCTCTAGCAGGAAAGAGGCAAAATAAAGGTACAGAGAAAACATAAACCATTGCAAAATAGAAATAAAAACATGTTCCCCATCACTGAGATGGCAGTTTGGCCAATTTTACTACCTTTATATGTGGCAAAATGTGGTAGATAATTCCAAATTCTGTCTACAAATGATGATATTTCAAATTATTAGAAGTTCCCAGGTAATACTTGTCCCATGTAAATAGGTCAGAAGATGCTAAGAGGCTCTGTAGAGTTGGGTGATATTTGTGAATGTCGCAAAAACTGTCTGTTACCTGTGTTGGTCTTCTGCTCAAAATGCATCATTTAACAAAAAAAAAAGGCTGTAAATTGTGAGCTACCTACATTTTTCAAGGTTTATTCTTGAGGTTTTCTTGGTCATTCTTGCAATTTAGAAAACAACCGGAGCTTTGTGGTTGATGCTTTTGTATTTTAACACAAACCGTGATCTTTTCAGAAACCTTAGTGGGTAGTTTTGTTGCCTAAACTTAACCAAGTTGTTTTGTAGCGTAAATAAAAGTAAAAGAAGATGACAGAAATGCCACATAGAACCCAAAGTGGAGCCTTCTGGGTGAAGTTCTGTGGTTTATGCCTCCTCCACCACCAGTCCAACCTCCTTAAGCAAGAAACTTGCAAGTTGCGTGATGTTGATGCAACAGTAGGCCAAAAAAAAGTCTTCATTTCACACTTTATTGTGAAACACATTCATACAAAATCATTAATTTTAATCTAAAGTGAAGTAAATAATGTAATTTAGAAAGAAAAGAAGAATGACTGGGACCTTTATGTGCTAATATGAATCTGTAGTGATGGATGTTAGAAATAAATGAGCAACTATTTCAGTAATGGCTATGTCGCTGTTCTTTTAACGGGCAAATAGTGCATCCACTGGTTTACAGATTTAAGATCCGTTTACCACTGAAACAATGCTTTGGTCCCTTCCAGTTGAATTCGTCTGAGGAACTCGTTGGCTGAATAGTAACCTGGTAATTACCTCGTGCTTTTGGCCGGCCTCTCGAGGCTGAAGGGGCCTCGGCTACTCAGACTGAAAAATGCATTCAGACCTCGGCAAGGACCTTGAGAGACAGTCAGAAATAGCTGCCTCTTAAGACGTGCACAGTCCAGTCCGCCGTGAAGAGCATCGCAGTGACTGGTGCTTCATTTAGACGCCGCCACCGGCCTCGCCTCCAGATCTCTCCGTCAGGTCACAAACACTTGATGGCGTGTCAAGTGTCAGCTGAAGTACCGTTGCTATTCTGGGCCCCTCGTCGTTTCTTGGGAATCATAAGTCATTATCGTCTCCGCTTAGAAAAACATGTTGTGTGAAAACAGGACTGTTGTGGAGTTGGAGGAGGCAGAGAAACAAGACGAGAAGAAGGAGGAAAATCTGGTGGTTTGTGTCGGTGACCTGAATGCGTTGAGGAGAAGATGGAATTTCATCCCCACGAGAAATAAAATTAATGGTTATTCTCTAATCAGGCAAATAAGTCTGTTCTTAATTTAGCTATTAATTATATCTTGTAATTTGGCAAACAGCGCACAATGTCTGCCAAGGATGCCCCCTGACGCCCCTCGTGTTTTTCTCAGCAGCCCTCAGCCTGTTTCCTATCAGACTTTCAATCAAATGGAAGAGGCTTTGCTAATTTAATATTGAGTGGCGAGAAGGCACAGTTAGACAGAGAGAGGAATCTCACAACTTAAATAATTAGACCCGTGTCCCTCCCGCAAGACATTTGATCCCGCGGTCTGTTCGCTGAATTTCATCCGCCGGCTTTACTTTGGGTTGGGTATTGACACGTTTTAATTGCTTTTATATTGGGGTCTCATCAGTCTGAGATTACGCGCTTTTAAAATGGTCGATTTTAAATGACTTATTATTGGGAAAACTCTATTTGAAACGGCAGCCGTCGTCCTCTCTGCGTGTTTGACGTGCGTGTGTTCTTCTCTCCGCAGTGTTTGCCGATCCGTGGTCATGGATTTGTCCTCGATAAGTACAAGTGCCACTGCAAGAAAGGATTCTACCATCCCAACAGAGTGGCCGTCAACGGTTTTACAAGTAAGTCACGTTCAAGCGCTGCGTGTAGACTCTATTAAATTACATTTAGACGTCAGCTGTCAGAAGAGTTTGTTTTTGTCAGATTGCAACATGCGAACAACCTGTGTGCCACTACTTTTTGGTGACGGACTTTTAAAATACATGATAACTTAACACATTTGTCATTATTTTATATGAATTTAGGGCTTTAATGCTGAGAACATCTGTGTTTAAAATGTGTTTGGAGAAGGAATAGAGGGACGGGAAGTTGGTGAAATATCTAATTTATCAAGTGGAAGTGACGATATGAAGCTGAAATGTGTAAAATGAACATAAATGTAAAGTGCATTTTCTTGTTTTCTGATTCGTTCAGGGTTGTAAATGTAATCCCTGAGCTGATTTGCGATGTTAGAGATCATTTAGAGGTATAAGATGCTCAAAACATGAGCCCAGATGGATGATGTCTCTTGTGCATTTCTCAAACTATTTCAGACAGACAAGAGACCAAACCATTGCTTTGCAAAATAACGATCCTCACATTAGTTTGAAAGGTTTAAATGGCAGAAAAGTGCACAACTTACTGACCCCTTTTTCCTCATTTGGAAACCACAGTCGGCTAATTGTATCCGAGTCCAAGCAAATGTTTCAGAGATGAAAAGAATATTTAGTCTCTCAAACTTTCAAACGTTTCCAACAGCATGTGCGGCGCAACGCTCCTTCAACAGCTGCCAAATTAGTCCAAGAGATCATGACAGTGATGTGAAAACCAAACAAACAGCCTGTTTATTGCGGTGCTTTTCCAACGTAGCAGTCTTGTGCATTATTGAGCTGACACTCAGTAACACTAAAGTTTTAATCGATGCAGTAGTTCTACTTTATTATTAGTACATAATGCAGGGTTTCCACACATATACAGCTCTATGTTCTTGCTACATGACAAAGACGCAGTTATATAATTGTATTTGCCGTATTTTTAAATCTAAAATGACCCACATGGACTTCAAGCCGTATGAATTTGAAGCTGCCTCAAAGCACTTAAAGCGGATAAAGACTCAACAATCACGTGACTTCTTGAGGACTGAAGTGGTTTGTAGTTACCTTTTAGAGGTAACCAGTCAGAATTAGCCTCAGAGTTCATTCTTGACCTTGGAAATTACCCTTTTTCATGGCAGACATTTTGACTCCTCATAAGAGCAGCCGACGCACACGCGGAGCAGCTGACATTAAAGACGAAGTGAGTCTCATGTAACTGTACCGAACCCTTGATCTGACTCACCTAAATGGAGCACAGCCATCAGTAATGTTATTAATTATCCCTGTGCTTATGCGTCGACAATATGAACTGTAAAAAAAAAAAAGATGCTTTTTATAGAGCTTTTATTACTGATTGTAGTCCAGATGTGGCTCAAAGTCCTGGAAAAGCTAGAAACGAATTCGATTTGGAAGGTTGCTGTGTCAGACTTCCACAATACTCAATACTTTGCGATGCAGTTATTTACCCAAATGGTACCTCTTACACTGGTTCATAAAATATTTATTTGTCATCAGTTTTGAGCTTCTTGTATAGACTTACAAAGTACCAAACAGTGCCACTCAGAGTCAACAAAAGGGGGAAAGAAAGTGGTTTTACAAAGAATTTATGGCCTAAAAATCACGTCATGAGTCAGAGAAGCTGTAGAAACCCCTTTACAATAAGGTCACTTGTACTTTGATGTGAATTATTATTATTTTTTTAGGAATATTAAGCTCTTGAAGCAGTTTTTTTGTCTGTTAATTTGCTGCAAATTTACATCCAAATCTGCAACAAAGTGCAATTTTTAATGCATGCTGAATATATGAATGGAGGTTTGTTACGTTTTTTTTTTCACTACAAACGTAGCAGATGACTTGACATTAAGTTCATTTTTATTAATTCCAACTTTGCTTAAAAGTTGCACTTTATCCAGAGGACCGTCAGCTATTTGCAGGAACCCTATCTGCCCTGTCTGAAAATTGAAGTAGCCCCGGTACCTGGGGAGGCTAATCTGGCTCGAGATGGGAAATATCTTTTTAATGGTAGTTACTTTCTCCAGTTTATTCTGTCTGCTGCGAGTTAATTAAAAAAGGCTTTTGCAGACACAGAACCCCAGTGGTTTTCACCTGCCCTCCATCACTTTCTCTGCCATACTTTCATTTCATTCCACTTTCCCTCCTGCCTCATCCCACTCAGACCTCATACACAATGTTCCTGTGTGTCTGTCTCAATTTTATCCTCTTTTCTCACCCATTTTCCTTCCCCTCCTTCCTTTTCTTCCCTCGATTTTTTTTTTTTTTTTTTGCACCATCCTATTGCCATGCTCTCTAAAATTCTTTTTCTTCATGCACCAAAAAGCAAAAGGCTCCACAATATTTCTCTCTCTCTGTGTGTCTGTCTCTCTCAAAGCTCTGGATATCTGTGCTGTCTGCCTTCTTGTGCTGTTTTGCCAGAGTGCACACAAACTTGCATGTTCATGTGTGCAAGTCTGCATGAAAGCTGAGTGTGTGTGTGTGTGTGTGTGTATGTGTGTGTATTTGAGAAGACAACAATAGAGAGGAAAGGCAAGCCTGTTAGCGAGGCGTATAGTGCTGCAGTCTGGCCCACCATGGGGCCAATAACAAGCCTGTTAATCCACAAGGGGACATCCTTGACACTCCTTTGCAGAGGAAGCCTGTGCAACTCACTTTCCTTTTGTCTCCCGGTGATCTTCCACTGTGGATCTCGCATATAAATACAAGAGAGAAGTTGCTGTAGCTAAGCTTCCTCCCCGACTGTCACTCAAAATGTGGCGGCAACAAAACCAATGAGCGCGAGCTAAAGGATGTGACTCATTGCTACGGAGATAAGTAGTCCTTTTGAAGGGATCAATGATGTGCAGAGTCATAGCTTTGAAAAATAGGCCAGTTTCTTTTTAAAGGCAAAATCCCCGCAAATCTCTGAGACAATGGCTGTTTCCAATAAAGCCTCTATAAAAGCTCTATAAGTCCAAAAATTCGTTATCTATCCAGCCATATGGGCATCTCTCAAGGGATTTCTATATAAATCGGTCCACTTGCTGCACGTTGTCCCCGGGGTTTGTTTGGTTTTTACCTTAGTTTACCCTGAGAGGGAGTTTTTCTTTTTTAGCTTTTGCAATCATATCACATTTCTGCATTGTTGCTCTCCAAAGTTTCCACTTCAGGCAGAACTTCTACTTCAACCTCAGCGGTATTTCCTCAATGCATTCATATTCCCCGCCCAGATCTTGGGCTCACGGACTCCCCATCGTCCCAGTCCTTGCCGAGGTAAAATAAAGTGCCAGCATATCTCGGTGTGCTTTATACCAGGGAGCCACAGTCATCAGCCGTGTATGATATGCCAGCGACTGAACAAGGTGCAGCGGTGTTGACTTTTCATGTTCACACATATAGATCCATCTCTCTGGTGTTGACACAATGTCGATGGCTCCTTGTAAGGTCAGAGAGGGATAAGCATCTCCACGGATCCGGAGGAAAATTCAATAACAAGGGAACTTAAAATGATCGCCGCCGCTGCTACACAATCCTCTTTGTAATCGTGGAATACGGTGTGTAAAACGTGAATCGACACTGTGTTAAAATAAAACCTGGACTAGACGTTCACAGGTAACGTTTTAAGCTGGAGTTCCCTAAAGCAGTTGTTCCAAAAGCACTCACAAAGCCAGGATTTTTAAGCCAGATAATCGATTTTATGAGCTCTAATTGACTGATTAGTGTTTGCCAAAGTCTAAGATGACGTCCTCGTATGTCTAGTTTTGTCCATAACCCAACAACATTCAGTTAACTGTAACAAAGGAGTAAAGAAACTGGAAAATATTCACATTTAAGAAACTGGAATCAGAAGATTTCTGCTTTCTTTCTTCAAAAATTACTCAAAACGATTCATCGATTGTCAAAATAGCTGGTGATTGATTTATTAGTTGACAACTAATAGATTAATTGTTGCACTTGTGTTCACCAGTATAAATTTATTTAAAATCCTTTTATCTGTCTAATTACCGTCCCTTCAATAACTATTTCACCCAATACTGAACATTATTGGTGTCAATTGTTATTCATTTCTTTCAGTTAGCAATTTCAACTGCTTAGCTGTTAGCTTCTGCTAACATTTTAAACCGCTTACTTGTTTGTTTTATCCAACGATTTCAAACAATTTAAATTTTGACTGTTTATCTATTACTTTTAGCAACTACTATAACTGTATTCATTATTTTAGGTAATCAATTTTAGGTAGCCCTTTTAACTGTTTTTTAACGTTACTTAACATTTTTAACTGTTTATGTACTACTTGAAGCTAACAGTTGTAACTGCATTTGCTATTTTAAGTGATCAAGCCTATTTATCGATTAACTAAAATTGTAATTTTTAGCCATTTTTATTCCAACATTTTTAATTAGTTTGTCAATTATATTTCGCTAACAGTTCCAACTGTTTATCCATCATTTTTAGCATTATTTAACCATTGGCCTACTTCTGTTAAGTGTCTTACTTAGTTACCTTTAGCTAACAATTTCAAATTTTTTATTTTTTTTAAAAATCTAACTATTAACTATCTCTCTATTAATTGCTATTAATAGTTTATTCATTACTAAAAGCTAACAGCGCTAAACTGAGTTTATTCATTTATTGTAGCTAACAGTTAAAATTTTTATCCATTATTATTAACAAATTTTTAATTAATTTGAATTAGCTAACAATGACAACAGTTTTTCTTTACTTTTAGCTAATGGAACTGTATTTATTATTTAGTCATTACCTGAAGCTCTTTTAGATAACAATTTTTTATTTGTTCCATCAACTCTTAACACTTCTCTCCTCGCCTGCTATAACCAGTTTCCATCAATCACAGCAGGGATTTTTTTGGGTACACGAGTGCGTGGATATATATTTTCTGAAATGCTGACATTAGCTCCACTCTTTGTTATCCATCACTCCGCTGGAGCTCAACGACAATGATGTCTATGATGCTCTGATCAACCGGTGACACAAAGATTACTGGGTGCATTTCTTCTGTCTTTGAGCATTTGAAATGTTGGAGCTGCTTTCTCACTCATCCATCTTGTGTTTGACAGGGATGGGGAGAAAGGGAAAAGCTGCCGACAGCGGTCCCAACGCAGACGAGGGCTCCTCTAGCGACTGCCTGCCCTGCCAGCAGGGCTGCGCTTACTGCAAAGACGACACTCCCTGCGTGGCCCGAGAGGACGGCGCCCTTCGCATGGCCGTGCTCTCCTTCCAGTGCCTCTGCATCCTGATCGTCTTCATCAGCATGGTGCTCATATACCACTTTCGCAGGAATAAGGTGCATAAACATTCTTTGTTGGGAAATTTGATCCGTGTGTGAATGTGTTTGAGTCAGACGTTTGGATGGATGCTTGTTGTAAAAGTTCATTTGGAAACAGCCGATAAAAGAGAAACACACTAACTGCGTTCACAATCGCAACATCACATCAGTTACGTGTTTGATGTTTTCTGGGCCATATGGTCATCAAAGCCCCGTTGGATGAATAAACTAGTAATTCCATATGTGGGTGGTCACAATAAAGCTTTGAAATCATTTCAAACGGCTCAGACACCTCAGATCAACTCCAAGTCAGAACCTTGGACGGTGACCGGTGTGTGAAAACAGGAACACAAAAGGAAGAATTACTCTGATTTCTCCATCGGGCCGCTGACTGCTTCATCTCTCACAGTGGACACCTGGTATTTAATTCATGTTATATAAGTGCATTTGTCAAACCAATTTTTATTATGAAATTTGGCAGCAAGAATTATGAATGGCTAAGAATGTCATGGCCGTCTAATTAAACAACCTTACTGTGTAATATGTCCTCTGCATTACCTTGAAAGGTGCATCATCCAATCACGAAACGACTTCACGAATACAAAAGTGAAGATTCAAATTCCGATCGTGCGCCAGATACTGTAAATAAATATGAAGTCTTTCTGGATTCAACAATGTGGTATGGTGCCAACAATGTAGGCTCCCACATCCTATGTAATGAAGCAAAAGACAACAGACTTTAAAGGTGTGGTCGTAACCCTCTGGTTTTTGGTCGTTATTTGCTCACTTTTTTACTGAAATCTTAAGTCCTGCACCTCTATGCAAACAGCAAAACCATGCCAAGAAATAGAGAGAACTCAAAAATGCCTTTTGTGCAACATAACCCAGCTATAATGCCACACATCATATAAAAAGTGAAAACAAAAGTTCATATAATAGCATATTTATTTTACAAAAATGTAAAAACCCTGCAATTAACATGTAAAACATTCTTCCTAATGTCCACAACAAAAACATGACTCCACATACTATTCTATCTGTTTCCAATCTTGTTTCCTATTTGCCGTTATGCACAGCCTGCAGTTCAACACAGTTCAGCCAAAAAGTCT